TTCCGGATTTCACTGGCATTGTGCCATTTGACTCTGTTGATGGACTGGAAGTGGACAGGTCTTTCAAAGAAGCCGGGTCCTCATTCGGGGGAATACCTGATTCCACCAAAGTTTCTTCCTCGTCCATATCGTCATCTTCAAACGTGACCCCATGTTGAGAGTTGGCGTTAAGCCAGTCAAAAATATCCATATTTGAATCTCCGGACTCTTGCGCTGGGATAGCTGTTTGTGCCTCAACAGTTGGCGCTGTTGATTCCACTTGAGTCGAGTCTTTTTTGGAGGGAGATTTGGAGTGTTTGTGTTTTCTTGATTGAGATCCAGACGATTTCTCACCTGACTGTGTTGTGTCAGTTGCATCGACCAAATCTACGCTCCCTTTTTCCGGTTGTTTGGAAGATTCCTCATTTTCTGAATTTTCTAGTTCCTTATTTTCTTGGCCAACGGAGTCGGTGGCACTTCGGCGTTCGACTGAGTCGTCGTGACTAGGCTTCTCAACTTCCTCGTTCGGCACCAATTCTCGTTGGACCGGCACCTCTTGAACAACTTCAGTAGTTGAAGCCTTAATCTCCTGCGTACTCGCGGTAGAATCGGACGGTTCTTGTTTCCTTGACTCGGATTTAACTGAAGGTTCTGCAGCCTTAGGGCTAGCGGGCTTCAGACCCAATACTTCGCAATAATTCTCAAATGTGATAAAGCCAGTACGATCGGGATCAAAGAGCTCAGTCCAGGTGGTAACAAATTCCGCCTTGTACCTCTTCCGGTGCATGTAGTTGCGTAGATCATCAATGGTAATCACACCAGTCTTATCCGTGTCGATCGCGTGGAAGAATTCTAAAAATGCAGCCATGACTTCGCCCTCTTTAAAGGCATCAACAATGACAAATACAACGAAGAGAACAGTAGCTGCAGGGACAGCACCAAATGAATGCGAAACGTGGTCTCCTTAACCCATCATATCGAGCGTGGAGGCCTATTGCACTGCCATTGGCTGATGGTCAGTGCGCGTGCTTTGAAAGCATCGTATTGCCGCAGCGACACGTTGTAACTGCAATGCCATTGGTTGGTTTGGTCAATTGGTTGGTTGAATGGAGGGCTGGATGGCTGGATGGCTAGCCAGATAGCTACGTCCCCGTAATGCCACGTTGCTAGGCCCTCCACTCAGGTGCGATTTGCAATGCTTATGCGCCTACATCTACGCTTTAATTAAAGTGGCACATTTGTTGCCAAATAAGTGCTCCTTTCAAGCCGGTTGGTTAATTTGAGGGAGGTAAATCTAGACGCGGCTCCGAGAGGGCTTTGGTTTTACTGCTTTAAGTTGAGGCGAAAGTGTCTTTTTGTGGCGTCAGATTACAGAGTGTGTAAGCAGAAATATGGGTGTCGTAATAAGTCGAAAGGATTGGGTCCAAATGTATAAATTATTTGCCTTTAAATTAAAACTCTTGTAGGATGTTTTTAAAGTCAAATGGTTCTGTACATTAAATTTTACAAAAATGTATAAGCTTTGTATAACAATTGTATTTGTGTATAAGCGAGGGAAAGATGTTAACTTGGCTATTTCGGTTTGACAAGCTGGATGTCCTGACATGGTGACACTTAGTAAAGTCGTCTGCACTACATTATGCACCAATGAGAGAAAAAAACACCTTTGTATTGAAGACTTACATGCCAAAAAATAAAAGTTCATTCCAGTCGGCTTGTATGTCTTGCTTCGGAATGAGAAACACCCTCTTGTGTGGTAGTAGACTTTAGGAAAGTTGGAGGCCGCGAAAATGACTACATTGGTGCGACTGATGAAGATGGCTAGTGGGCCGCAGCCATTGGAAAAAGAGATGTGATTAAAAAAAACTTTCATTGGCATTCGAGATGACTTTGCCCAACAGAAGATGGCAAGCATTGGCTGTAATTAATGATAGGTAGAGGTTCATAAAAAATGCATCAAATAGTTGCCGCTCTGTGCCGATGACAACTCCGAATTTGGTGTTGTCATGTGAAACGATTATTATTGACAGGCTTGAAGTCGAGCCGCTGAAAAAAAAATTATCGCAACCACCAACCTTATCAATGGAAGAGGTTTTGACATGATTACAAGCGAAATAGCCTACAGTACAAATACACATAATTGCCTGCCGATTACGAATAGATGGATGGATGGATGCAGGATGGATGGATAGATGGATATAGGATGGGTCCAGAATGGATGGGAGGATGGATGGATCCGGGATGGATGAATGGATACAGGATGGAGGGATGGACTGAAATTCCTTTACAATCATTTGCAAAGCAAAATTTTGTTTCTTTCCCCATTTTCCCTCCATTTCCACCCATACAATGCATCCTCTTTCATTGCAGTTGGATAAATTACCCTGAGATACTTCTAAAGGCACAGTAACTACACTCCGTAGGAGTTAAAGAACAACAACCTTCTCCGCGTGTAAGCTTTGCGCAATTCTTCAACCCTTCTCCCTATCAATCATCGCTTTTAGATTTCCACGTGGGAATATTTAATTCCACTTAGCTACCCATTCTTGAGTTTGTCTTTTGCAAAAAAACGCCTGCCTCGTGGTACAAGGAGGAACCAATGAACACGTCTTATTTGAGGTCGTCTTCAACCTCAAAATGCAAACGCGTACTTAGCTAGCAATTTCCATACCGTGAATGTTTCCACGCTGTTCCGCTAAGCAGTGTACGAGAGCCCTCAGACAGACAGAAGGACGGAGGAAGAAGAGGAGGGACGGGTGGAGCCATGTTGCCTGTTGTGGATATTTCGTCTTCACCACTGCTGCGTCTTTATGACGGTTGTGTGCGAGTGTGGGCGCTTTGCGAGATTTTGACTGCTTCCCTTCCATTTTTCCTGTTTTTTCCCCTTCCAGGCTTTCCACATCATCAAATAATTGAGTTAAAGTATTATCATACCTACCACTGGACAGGCCGTTCCGTTTTCTCTCCGGCTGGCCCCTGCGGCAGCCTTGCAAAGTGTATTTCCATCAAGACACCGTGGTGGTGCTACACCCACCGGTAAGTTCCATTTGTACCGCAGTTAACCAGTGGAGATAACGTCGGGCCGATTTAATCTATCCACAGAGAGGTGAATATGCCCAACAGCGGTGGCAACCCATGCCTTCCGCAGTGTATGACGACCAGCAGTTGACCTCACGGGCACTCACGACCAGGGAATTGCTTCCAGCACTCAACCACAAGTCGCTGCTTGGTGGCTGTGATCTTGGCCTAATGACCTCCACCCAGTCAGTCCCATGAACGCTTTCAACTCTCACGTGACCTGCCAGATCCTTTCCATGTGCACGCTTGCTAACTAGAATCAATGACGAAGTGAATCACATGGATCTAGGTGGCTTCAGCTATCCCGATAAGTCCTTCCACCAGCGTGGAATTTGTGTGTCACCCAGTCCCGTCTGTTATTCGCCACAAATTTTTAAACGTCCCTGTTTAAGTGGAAGAGCATCAAACGTCACCGGTCAGGACTCATGTTAGAGTGGTTTTTGTCACCATGTGGATTTTTGACAACGTCTTACCCCTCAAGCCTCACACTGTGGCCAGTAGAGGCGTGTGTGAGGTCAAGATGGAAGTGCCTTTTATCACAGGTGTACCACAAAATTTAATAAAGTCGAATGATGAAAACATTTTGCGGGGTCTTTGTTGTAGCCAGCCACAATACCACGTTCCAGCAGGTTGAAACCGGTAAGATTGGTGTAGTGGCAGAACAAAGCACTGTAGTGGAATGCACCAAGTAATTTCTAGTGGTGTGACTCAGTTAAGGAGCTATGCACCACCCTCACAACTTTTCATTTGATGGAATTTGAAGTCAAAGTGTCAAAGACAACCCTTAGAAGGGCTTTCCGTAAGCTAGACTGAAAAGGAAAGGGGAAGTCGTGGATGACTGTACTGACAGCAGTGGGAACAGAGGTAGAGCTTGACGTGTTGGAGACGCGGCTACTCGTGGATGCTCCAGAGAGGATGAAGTCACCAATACGTTGCCAGCTCCATCACGTTCTCCACTCCAGCATCCAGATAGGCGCCTTCTCCCTGTTCTTCATTATCTTTCTCGTTCACTAAGCCCACTACCACATCGACAGAGCTAGAGGGAGGATGATGGTTGGTGCTGGACCGGGTGGATGTCCATGCAACCGCCTTAGTGGAGGTGGAACTGCAGCCTCCACTCATTGCCAGAGTAGTGGAGGGAATCAGAGGGGCTGAAGAATTGAAAATAATGGTACGACAGTCATCCGGATGGCGGAAAGGTTGGCCTACGGTGGAGGCAGCGACGGTGAGGTTGTAGGCGATCCTGGGTAAGAAATCGTCTACTCGCATGCCCCACATTGTCGGCAAGTTGTTGTGGCTCGCCTAACAGCGAATACAAATGAGTTCCGCACAAGTTGACAACAGGTAGCTGCAGGTTTCAAGAGCTGCTGACATCATTTATTGACAGAAATTTTCTTAAAAAGTAAGTTTTTGTATTCTAATGGGTAGGATAAATTGATTGGCTCCCTGCCCTACTGCCAAGACACACACCCTCATCATTTCATGTCGAAGCGACGATGTCTGCTCTGTGACGTGTCGTCGGGCGGAGACTGAATAGCTAGCCAAGAATTTATCATTGTCTAAAAAGGTCAAACAACTGTAGTCATGACTGATCCAAGGGCTTAAAAGAGAAACTTCTGCCATGGAATGAAAGTACCCTTCGCACAAGGCAATACGAGACATGGAGGGAATCGCAAATGTTAGAGCTGGATCTACTCGGTATGGTGGAAAATAAATGCATTCCACCCCCACTTTTACCCACTCAAAGAAATGCTTCTTTATGGCTTTAAGTAAAGAGTTGTTACAGGAGACAACCGTGAGTAAGGCAAGACTTGGACACCCAAATATTGTCTCCAATGGATGTTCATGTCAAACTGGGACTCTGGTACAGATGCGCGGCTACGCAGTTCGATGAGTAGCTGCGATCGTAGAAAATTTAGCAATACGACATTTGCTTTCAGACTGTCTGTTCCTTCCCATCATTAATGCTGATAAGTTGGCTTTTATAAGTGGTTTTGTCCTCCCTTTTTTCAGTAGGATTCGGACGTTGTGGCCTTTTTAGCACCTACGTTTCGACCGACTGGCGTTCCTTTTGAAGGCTGAATGGATGCAAGAATCAACGACAGGTGTCAAGTTCACTTCACTACGTCCATGATCGCTACTGGCACAGTTCTGCGCCATTCAAGTGTCACCGCTATTGAACCTCTTGTCTGTAGTGCCCTATGCATGGTACCTGCCACCACCACTCCATTACCTCCTTCCAAACCTGTCATTTCAAGCCTTGACAACCTCCGTGTATCTATGATTGTTGGCTTTTTTCAGTCTGTCTTTGTTCATTTTGAGAATGCAAATTCTCGGGACATCTTAAATGATAAAAAAGGGCACCTTCAGCACCCCCATGTGTCCAAATTTATTGGAAGTATCGAGCAATTTAGAGGTCTCTTTTTATGCTTCTCCCCTAGAAATGGACTTTTTAAATATTCTAGGGCTCTTTTACAGCTTATCAAGCAGTTAGAATTAAGCGTTATAAAGACCTCACTTTGTTCAACTAACGGAGGCCCCATGGGACAAGGAAAATGTTCATTTGTCAACAGAATCCGCCTTGATCACGTGAGGAATAAACCAACATTGAACCCCACCTCGGAGACGTAGTGAAATTCCGGTTGTTCCAACGTGCGTTTAACCGCGCTGACTGTTCGCTCCGGGCCAAGGGATTAAGATTTGGCCGGGACTTCACTCTCCCGGCTTTGCTCGGTAATGGCAATAAATCCTCTCCATCGGTATGGCTTTTTACGAGTCGGGGGGAGGGGGAGGGGGGTTGGGTGGGGGGTAAACACAGGGACAGGCGGTGGCAACGATCCAAGTAACGAGATGACTCCCATTTCCTGGGCTGGATGCCAAATCTGTGTGTGGACAGAAGGAAGGTGCCAGCGGTGATTTGTTGCCTCTGTAGTGTGGCCCTTTGACACAGGGATCAATCATGGAGGGTTGAAGGGGAAATCGCGACTACAGAGAGACCCGAGAACAGCAGATTTGATATTTTTTTAATGGTGACCTTATCCACACGGTCTCTTCAGTGTCCGTGGATCGTGCTCTTCTCTCAGCGGTTTCTTTTTTTCGGTCATGTTTACCGTCTTCTCCTTCCTCGATAAGTCATTCCCTCATATCAGTGTGTCTCATCAAAGCTTCGAGGCAATCTAGAGACACCGCGGGATCATTTGACTAAAGTAAATTGATCTGCTTTGCTTTGATGGAAACATCTTTCCATTCTCATCTTCCCCTTTCAGGTAATGACTGCTATACTTTCTTGTCAGTAGGCACTCATCCGCGAGACAGTCTTGACAATTTGGGAGAGGAGATTGTAGCTAAGTTTTATTTTTGTAGCCTGCCTATGTGCTTCCAAAAAAGCTGCTGAAAATATTGACGACGATTAATTTTAGCGAAAGAATTCACAAGGATTCACATCTACCCGAAGGCAGTCCCTTTATTCACCCAATCCGCTAGCCGGCTTCACCTTCCTGTACTTTCGGTTCTTGCACCACCAGTGTACACTCTCTTTTACGATTTTCACCTATCCACATTTTAAAATCTACGCTCTCAGTCCATTCATTTTGTTTAAAATGGGTTTACCTTCTTTGCAGTTCCATTTGCCCGCGTTGTTGGGTGTAATCAGAGTGGCTACACAAGCAACTCGAAGCTCCAGCAGCGGAGACGCCGTATTCGAGTGGTAAGGGTGTGGCCTGCTAGCAAATTTGCGCGCACATGCGCACACATCGTAAAGTCAAGTACACTGTTGGCAACTCTGACGGCGAAGTTGACTTTAAACATTTTGGCAGAATTCAAGAACGCGTCTGTCGTATGGCCTTCCTAATTGGAGTAACAAATTATACCACCATCAATTTTAATGCTTAGAGTTACAACAACTCCCATGTGTACCTCGAAAAAAGAAGAATTTTCAATAAATTCGGTATTTTTAGCCGAATTTTAAAAATACCGCTTTTGATATCGATTTTTCGGACTGCTTTCCAATTGGTCAGTTTCGAATCCCCGAAATATCAATAATGCGGGCAACGAATTGTTTGCTGTTGATACTGTCAACGCTGTCCCACCTCGCCTTGTCAGCTGTTGTCGATGAAGACGGTCTAATTGCCATCCTTTATGAGATCTACCGCGAGGACACATTTCCAGCCTTCGAGAAGTACCCCCTGGAAATATTCAATCCGCTGAAGGGTCCGTATTACCAGAAGTTGGCAAAATTACACGATCAGGCAGCATTGCACATGGCGGCGAATGGGTTTCCCTCTGGCTCACTTGATGGAGATGTAATTCCTCTTTACCCATCACTTGAAAAAGATAAAATCTTAATGTATGAGGTTAGTGAATGTTTGAATCACATGCAGTTTCAAGGCGTAAAAGCTGTTGGAAAGTAAATTTTCAAATCGCCGCCATGCAGCACTAATTCAAGGGGTTTTAATTCGCCAAAGTGGAAATTGCAATTTCTTATGAGAGCTTTTAATCACTCACTCCTGGCAGTAGGAAAAAAATCTGCTATTCTGAGGCACTTGTTGATAATCCCCTTAGCCTAGGCCTTGACAGTTATCTACAGTGTCAGGATTTTGGCCTCCGCATTGGTCCTAAGCTCTTGTGGATAAAAAAATGGGACGAGGGAGCATGAGATGGGCTTCATGAATTTCACATGATTTCCTAGTGATTCACAATATACTCAAGCACCTCACTATAAAAGGCACATGTCTTTATTAAGTGCCATTGTTAGCGTTAGAATTCTTAAATTCTCCTCTCCCAAAAATCCAGTGCCTTCCGGTTTTTAAATTTGCATTCATTGATAAAATCGAAGGGAAGTACTTTTTGCCTGTTTTCACTTCCGGAATTTTACCGTCAAGGTAACAAAATCAAAAACTTTCACTCTCTATCCTTTGTTTTCATGCCACTGCTTGTCCTAGTTCATGTTTTACACCACCCTCTAGGTGGTGTATAGCGTCCCAGTTCCAGAACGTAGTTGGAAAAACCTAGCGTTTAATTGGTGCCATTCAAGGTCGTGCTGCCATTGGTGGGCAGGTGCGGAAGAGAGACATAAACAGTGTCTAATCACATAAAATCATTTCTTGTAGATTTCAGTATATTTTTAGCTGTGACATCATCCTCTAAAACTTATTTTTGAAATGAAAGTTTATGTCTAAACGATACGGGTGCCTTATCAAATATGACAAGCTGTAACTAGGCTTGTCAACTCCAGAGGTGGGTCAACGCGGTGTCTGAGGTGGATAGCGCATACTTATTCACGACTACCGCAGAAAAAGCTCTCAATTTCATACCTCTTCTGACTTATTAAGGGTCGTCAATGGAGCTCCCCGTAAATTCTTCACCCTAGAATTCGAGTGTCTTAAAGCCTACCTTGAGATTACACAATGATTTTTAACTATTGAAGGAAGACCCCTGTTGAAGAATTAGCCTGGCACCTAGTAAAATTTGATAAATTTTACCTGTCACATTCTCATCTACCTAACAAGAGACCACCTTTCGCACCAAGGGTTTTTCTCACGTCAATCCCTGACTGTGAGAGTATTTCTTCTACCATAAAATTGATGTGATTTGATTTGCAATTTTGGATTTTTTAAGAAGCAGTTTTCGTGGCATCAACATTTACTTGTCGTAAAGTCGACTGCTTAAGTTACCACTGCTCAGTTCAACTCCGGTATCGTTTTACTTTTTGCAGCAGCCAGAAGACAACAAAACCCTAGTAGCCGTTCTGCTGTGCCTCCCCTCAGATTAGGGCATCTGAAATTCTCAGAGGAAAGTTGATCACTGCAGGCCAGATGTTTTGCCATTCCATTAGTCCTTGTTTTACAAATTTAACCTGTTTTTAAAGACTGAAAAAAAAACGTCCTACCTTCGCCAGCTTTTTGCATTCCGCTTCTACTTATTTTTATTGTCTTAAACACAGTCTGCCAGTTTAGAACAGGCAATTTGATGTACTTAGTTAGTACGGCCTGATAAAGATAACGTAGAGCAGGGTTGAGACGGCAAACCCAGCGCGTCACATATGTGTGACGGTGGGGCTGAACGTGTTTATACCGGTCTAATGCTTAGTGGATTGAAGTAACCATCTATAGGTGGCGACAGGTGCACCCGTTTATTTTTTTATGTGGGTTAAAACTTTAAGGTGAACACTTTAATGTCATCTCAGTGTGGAATTTTTCTGACAAGTTCAAACCCTACGTGGCTCCCCGAGGCCACCTTTCCTTCTCTCCTTATTAGCACTGTCCTTTTAAAAGTCTTTCTAGATGCCTAGAAAACCATTGGTGTCTTTATGAATATGAAATTTTAAGAAATATTGCATATAGTAAAAGTTGTACCATAAATCGGCTTATATCCATTTAAGTAGTATTTGCAGTAGGGTGCTTAGTTGTGCGGAAAAAACAGTTATTTATTGCTTTGGGTAATTAAAGGCTTGCAGATGCAGGTATTCTTTGACAAGTGTTTTTTAAATGGGCTTTAGCTTAACCGGTAATGTTTGGTTAACAGAAAGGCCTGCCAAACCCAGAATCTACGCAATGCTGAGAGGGATTAGTTTTTTTACCAAAGTGGTTTATTAGTAGAAGGAGCATGCTAGGGTGCGCCCTTTCCTGTGAACCAATAATTAATGTTGGATCACCAACAGGTGCTAGGCATTCACCTCCCTGAAGCTCGAAGTTATACTGTTTACTCCACCATGTAACCGCTTTAATTTACCACTTCGCCCGGCCAACTTTATCGTTTTCGTTGGCCATGAAAACGTTACCGGACTTGGGAATGGCTGAAAAAAGCTTTGTTGTTCTATGAAGAGGCGGAAGCCTAGAAGTAGCACGGGGAGTCGCATCCACTGTCCACTCAATCGGCTTGGGACAGAGGTGGTAGACTGAAGGTGTCCATGACATGCCTCAGAGCTTCTTCCTATCCTCCCACCCTTTCCACCTTGAGCCTCGGCACTCGGCGCACTCGGTGTTGGTAACAAGCGCACACATGCGCACCTGTACCAGGCATCGCTAATGACAATCGTGTTAGTCTGGGGGCATTAAAGCCCTCCAACTGCGAGATAGTAATGGCGAGGGAGGTGATGGTATTCTTATGACTAATTAGCAACATAACGAGTGGATTTACGACTTGAATTTGCATTTCTTGTGTGCATCTGCCCATAAATCTTGCAACATACAACGAGTTTAATGGTTTCTCCACCACACTTGCATACGTTTTCTTTATAGGTCTTCATCCATCCATCCGTCTATACATTCAGCACTCATTTAATCATCCACTCGTCTGAGTTGAAGATTTAGTGTTGTAGGATTGCCTTTGAATAATAAGCAATGCAGAGGGCACCTTGAGGCATCAGTGGAGAGAGTTTTTGGCAAGTCACTAACGCACAGCTCACATAGCGGCACATAAAAATGCTTAGAGACCTTATTAAGAAGTAGATTTACCATTCTGACAAGTGATTTTCGTCTAGCTCAATCACGTAAAGCAGGCCTAGTTGATCACGCGTGGCTGGATCGTGGAAAGGCAGTTGACCTGGCCTGAACTGGGGATGAGCTGGGAGGGTGGTTCAGAATACGTGGTGAATGAACTAAAAGCGATTTTTAATGGATGTAAAAAAAAACAGATAATTAAGTTCTTTGCCGTAGATACGATAATTTGATGATTAAGACTGATTTATGAGTGAACTACTTAATTGGAAAAATAAGTAGCATGCGCCAACTAACTTATGTAGTATATTCCTCTTTCTCTTCAATTCATCGTCGGCATTGTATAAAATCCTGCTCCAACGAGAATTGCTTTTTGAATTAAAAGTCAGTCTGCTAATTTATAATTGGGAATGTATTTATGATTTCCGAAACTGCGCTAAAAATGAATTTACCTTTTTTAAAATCTCGGACAAACTTTCCTTTGAAAAGATGCCCCTATTAAAACTTATTTTGATCATATGGAATCTAAAATTATGGAACCTATACAGTCAACAAAAAGTGCTTCTTAAATATCAGTATTGTTAAGAGAGGTAGCCCATTTAAATGAGAGAATCACAGCCCCATAATTTATCCAGACACAACACAGAAAATCGTCTCTCCAAATCGTTGTGTGAGCATCTAAAACCGTTCAACGAGGCGAATGTAAACAGCTAGACATCTGGTTGAACCTCCACGTGTGTTAGTCATGCAGTCAGCTAGTCGAAGCGACCATAACAGTCATGAATAAGTCGTTGGTGGTGCAGCGGTGCGTGTTGCTTACCCGCGCCATGGCACCGCAAACATAGGTGTGGTTAAGTGACCTTGAAAACAATTAATTACTTGGTGCACAATCGTGAGGACTACAGGAGAAAGGGCAAAATCACGGTGCAACGCACATATTAGACTATTCACTTGATTTAGGACCTGGATGCAGGCGCTCGCACCGGTCCCAGAGCCTCATTCCCACGTACCTAAAATGACTGCGTCTGATTCGATAATTAATTGCTAGACGTCCTGATCACATTCCAAAGCCGTTACCACTAGAATGTGAGACAGTACAGGTCCATTCTTGTGTTTCATTTAAAAAAAAAAGATGCCTTGCGGTTGGCTTGCACTTTCTGCCTCTTATGCACTCATTTCATTCAATGGTGCATATGATAAAATATAGCCCTCTCTCTCCGGGACTGTAGTAATATTTTACTTCAACACATCTACTTAATTATTAAAAGTAGTGTTGATTTTTTCAAGGAAGAGTCGTACACAATTGAAACTAATCTTCGTGTGGAGCGTATTATGGAAGGCCTGCTGCTGACCTATGTCCAAGACAATAACACCAATATCCTTCTAGAGGACGAAGAACTCTCACTAGAACCCCTTTCCAACACTTCCACCCTGGGTCCAGCTCAGCGCATCCGTTTTGCCGAGTTCCAACGCCCAAGGTCCCTCTTAGCCTTCTTCATCGACATTTACAGGGTTTGTGTCGAGCTGACGGCTTCTTGTAGGCACGCCAGTAGGCAGTGAGATTTGGTTAGCAATCATTTTAGGTGGATACTCCCGACAACCAGAGAAGTGTTTAACTTTCTTCCAAGGCTACAGTCACCTGCTGGCTACTTATACGCAAATTGTCTGCAAGTATCTCACGGCAGTTGAACACTATGATGTGGACCACATATGCCCAAATTTGTGTATTGCAAGAGTAAAACCTCCATGGAACCAGTCTGTAAGCGACCAATTATTCGACCCCATCGATGTTTGTGCACAAATACCGAATGCACTGCCTGGGACGTGCAAGCTTGTGGGAAAAGGAATCTATGACTTCGAGTTTAGGTACGGCACCACAACATTGTATACTTATTTGAGATAAGTAGGCGGTGTTTAGTTAAATTTGCATTAATTTGGCTTGATACCAGCGTCACGTATATGTGACAGGAGGTCCTAATCTAATTAAGAGAATTGTTTTGTAAAAGCTTTGTTAGACAAAAAATAAACCAGGAACTGTTTCCACCTTCAATTTCTAAACTTAGTTTTAATTATATGAGGCATAAGCGTCTTCGTTCCAAGCAATCCGGGACTTTTGGCCTGACTTCAAGATGGAAAAATTTTGGATGGGCGCTACACACACATACATATACTAGTCACACATTTCAGACACCGCTAGTCAAGACGATAGACAACAGTGCTAGTGCATACAGCTAACAACATGCATCGTTGTGGATTTCTTCGAATGTGAGCCTAGTAGATCTGGAAGTTGACAATTGTCAAAGGCATTGCCAAACCAGACGCTCAGCCACCGTAAGACCTCTAAATAGTGTAAGCCCTTCAAAAATGGAATAATTTAAGGCGAATATAAACTCAAATAGCTCTTCTAAAACTCTTATTTGCATAATAAGGCGGTTGATACTGATTAGCTTATCAGTAGTTTAAGTGTAAAAAAATAATTACTAGGCGTCAATTTGGATAGCTGTTTCTATGCAATTAACTACAGTTTTCAATAATGCGATGAACATTGCTATTGAAGACTACAAGTTCTTGGTAATTTCAGGTGTCAATGCGTAACTGCGGCCTATGCATGGAAGGCCGAGCCCGGCGGAATGGTAGCTGGCGAATTTCCCCGATGTGAACCCCTATTTCCTTACCTTGAAAATGCACCACCTGGAACTACGCATTCCATTGCCTGTACTGAGGCGGAGAGAGAGTACTTCTGCGATCCAATTGGCAGCTCAAAGTGAGGATAAATAGCTTCCCCTAATCGAAATTTCCAAGTTAGCCATGAGGTGTGGGAGAAAACGGCGCCATGCAACGGACTAGCCGCAGTTGCTAGCAGATTATAAGCTAATCATTGAAAGAGGAATTAATACTGTTACGTTCCTTTTTTAAATTTAAGAAGGCTAAAATTTCAAATTGGAGTGGTTAGAACAGGTTTATGACTGCATTCAGACTCTTTGAACATAGGCTGGCAATTAATTATCTACTAATTAAATATTAGTAGAAAAATATTTATAAACTTGGGGGAGTGGTAGGTAATACCCAAGAGGACATCGCAGCCTCAGGCCACTAGTAAAAATATGCTAATCTTATTTCATTTTACCAACTTATAACTAGGTCTAGGATCAATGCATTACAAATCTTATAGGTCTTGCACCTCCTAGAGGATTTCCCTTGAAATAAGTCGACTTTTTCTTTATCCCCTTTTCAAGCTGTTATTTCATTGCCTCCAGAAAGGCATATGATGTTGGAAACGAGGCAGTTACGAGTATATCCCCGTGGCCCATCTGCGAGTGCAAACGTGGACGTGGTGGAGTCCGTTGTGATAGGCGGCTCGATGTGTGTGAAGATCCCCTCCCCTTAAACACTACAGAGCTACAACAGCTGGAAAGAAGAATTTCTGACATGCCTCCTGTGCTGACCGCTAAATGGTTGTGTGAAGCCTACTTACACCATTCCAAGTGTGTGCCTGACACGTCATCCAAGGGGGGTGAGGCAATCACACGTTTCAAAAATAAAAGTGGCGTGGTTTACACGTAGTGTTTCGTGATTGATTGGAGATAAAACTTCTTACCTTTTTGTAGGATTTTATTTAATAGATTGTATCCTTAACTTTAACCTACGCCTTACAACTCACATTTTAATTTGAAACGTAAAATCTGAGGGTGTAGTAATTTTATCATCAGGAGAGCTTGATAATCTTCACTTTATACTGTAAGTTGAGCTAACTTTCGTCACATGAGGGCGCAATTTGAATGCATTGCTTGTGGATTTTTCTGTTTCGTGATTGGGTGGTGGATGATGCTGTTGGTTGCTATGGGACTATAGCATAATTCCAATCAATAAAAAGAAAATAAAAATTTTCGGCATCGAGAAGCAATGCAATTAGCAATATTCTTATGTAGCGTATTAGTTAATAAATCCTCCCCTTTCCATGCTCTAGTTCGTCATTCACCTGGCTACTTAATTAGGCCATATAAGTAGTAAAAGAACCCGAAAACGTTATTGCACTGAAAACGTAGTTTTCGTGCCATACGGCTGAGGGCCAGCAACTCACAATATTTTTGCATTTTCTTTTCCCATTTTTAATGACTGTGACTGAACACTTGGTTTCAACAATTGCGATATCTTTTAGGTGAATACTCCTACCGGTGCGAATGTCGTCGAGGCTCCAGTGCTGATAAACGGTTTGGAAAGCTTGACAACTGTAGGATGCATTCATTTGTCGAAAAATCTGCACCCAAACACTCCGGTCGCTGCGCCCCTGGCTACGCTGGCAATAACTGCGACATGACAATCAATGCCTGGTCGGGTATAGTTTAAAAGTGGTTAAAAGGCATATGAATTAAAGAACCTTTCCTCAACTGGTTAGGCAAAATCTACTACTAGTCATCTGTAACTTATCAGTTCACTGACTAGCTGACAAGCTGAATGAATGGCAGTCGGTAATTATTCCTGACAGTTAAGTCTAACGCTCACTCGTTTTTTTTAAAAAGGCGTTCCATGAGATGTATTTAACAAAATGACTAGATTTCAATGCGTTTTGGTTCCTTTGACAAGCATGGAGTCAGTGGAGCGAGTGCCAGCCCCACTGCGGCTTCCACCGACGTCGCGCAAGGAGACGTCTATGTCTCGGGGATTTCGGTTGCTATGGTAGCACCCATGCCGCAGAGCATTGCCCACCAGTTGAATGTGATGGTCTGCGCGATCCCGGGGATGGTGTCTGGGGCACAAGGAGTGTAGCCAGTTTAAAGGAGTACAAGGATAATGGGGGATTCTTTGTTCCTGCTATCGGTGAAATAATATTGACAACACTTTTCTGTGTGTTTCTTTGCCAGGCCGCATTGGTTGCTCTAGGTGTGTGGATTTTCTGGCGAAGAGAGGGAAAGTGTAAGCGCGAGGCTTCCATGCAAATGTGAAAATTGTTATGACTACGAAACGACTTCTATTTGCGGGTTGTATTAATGGCAATGAGCTGATTACAAAATCTTGTAAGTATAAGCACAAAATACAAGCAATGTAAGAAATAGCAACAAATATATTGCTCCACTGACGACAGTTGCGTAAATACAAGGCGAAATAATTAATGATACCACTTTTAAAATAAGTGCTCGATAGCAAAAATTTCTTGTTTCACCGAGCACATCTAAAAGCGTGTTGATAGAGCATTTCATTACCTTCTAACTATTACTTTGCTTTTGATTTATTCTGCAAATTGCTTAAATTTTATAAGTGTTTTGTGTGTTTAAAAATTATTCCTAATTCGTTTAAAAAGTTATTGTTGAATATTTTAACTTATTTATTTTGATGTAAAAAATTTTATTCGTTGTTTTTTTGCTTTAAATAGCTTGATTTATGCCTTATTTACTAATTGAATGAGATGCACAACGATAGTGATGATGATGCATTAGCCTTCCAGGATTCTATTGGCTCCCGTGAAAGGCAGCGCATTGATTGGACAAGAAATTATTAACTTGAAAAAGCACTTCGTATTTTTGCAGGCAGGTTGTTTTTTAAAATAATGCCACTAATAACTTATTTTTGATCAGTTAATACGCACTACAACCACACATTTCATGTGTTGAGACCAGCAACTTGCAATCAGCAGTTGCTTATTTGTAGAAGTTGAATATACATCAATTTAATGTCAACAGTTCATACCTCCTTTTTGAACTTATTCCATCACAAAATTAATCGCGACTCTTGCAACAGTCGACCAATTGCTAAGGCTCATTGTGCTGATTTTGAATCACATGCCTATTTACCAAAGAAAGGCGTCTTTCTCTTTCCAGGCTTATTGCGTTGCAATGAATCGAGATATACAGCCAAACAATATCAGTGCCCCCAACATCCTTGGCAATGGCACTTTCCCGCTTGGAAGACCGCAGCTAATTCCCCGAGCCAACTTCATTCCCAATCCCAACACAAATCCACCTAGGCTTCCTCGTACGTATTTAGTTTTTCTTCTTATTCGTATAAATAATCGTCTTCCCATATATGTGTTTATTCTTCCCCCCTTCAAATTGCAAAAAGTCCGCCTTTCCAGCAACTTAGAAGGTTGAGAGTCCCACTTTCTAGAATACTATCACTAGATGCCTCAAGCGACCCATTACGGTGCTTTTCATCCCACATGGTAGATAATATTTCCTTCTGCATTCTTTACACTTTGTTTTGCGGTATGACTGCCTATTGAAATTTTGTCAGTAAATCGAGAACAAATCGTATTTTATTTGGTCTTACTCCACCCCGATCGAGTTACTCCTCCCCCCGCCCCCCTCCTCCTCTTTTTCCCTCTTACCTTCAATCAGTCCATTGAATTCCACGCCTTTGAGAATGAGGAAAAGGCGAGAACAAAGGAATTGAGACGAGAAGTGTAGCCAAATTCCTCCCGCCCTCCCTGCCTCCCACCCTCCCCCTTAGCGCGGAAGCGGTGATAGCGTGCCTTTATCGATCGACCGTGTTTTTAAGCGTGCGTGCGTATGTGCACCATCGTGGCGGTGATAGGCGCGACCACACGCGCGCCTTACTTTCGCTCTCTCATTGGTTTTCCTCTTTGATTGGCTGGCGTGACAGTTCGGATTGGTGTGTGCGCAGGCTAGTGCGCACGTGTGCCCCTCTCGTGGTCTTTGTGGCGGAGCTGTGCTTAGTCATTATTGGCTAAGAGGGTCACCTTATTCCTCGTCCCCCGTCCATGCCGTAGCCGATGCTATGAGGCTGGGAATTATTGATCCTAGCGGAGTATCGATTTTTGACCTATTGGGGGCCACTGTCTCCATTTAGGAGAATTGTCTGCAAAAAATCGGTTTTTTGGAATTAGGGATCTCTTTCAGAGGTAATTTTTAATCCAGAATGTGGAAATTTCTTGGTGGTGGTTACTTAGCTGACAGCAAGTCATGAGTCACGCAAAGCCTGTTTGAGCATACTTAGGTGCGCTCTAGTTGTTCCTCTTGAAAGGTGGCATTAGGAGTCATGCATGACCTTTAACTGCGGCCACAAAGATGGCGGCTGTGCGTGTGTCCTCACCCCAACTGTTCAGTGCCGGACCCTGGCGTGGTCGGTTTTTTTAGTTTTGATATTCATTCTACTTGTTTTTGTCAGTAGCTAGGGTGCTGTTGGTTACATTCTGGTTACTATTTCTGCTCGCACTTTTTCAAAAAAAATACTCTTTTTTTGAGAACTTTGCGTCAAGATAGGGATCACAAATCCCCATTAATCGTTATTTCTCAAATTAGTTGTAGCATTTGATTGAATTTGATGGTTATATGCCGGCAGTTGCCTTGTGAGGCAAATTGGCCATTTCACCTGTCTTATCCATCCATGAAGAATTGCAGTTTTTACATGATATTTATCAAATTTGATGTTTCTTATGTTTTCTTCTATAAAACAAGCCTTTTAGACCTGTTTAAAACTGATGTGCTCAAGTGAATTATTCTGCTTCTCAATGAACGCTATACGTTTCCAATTTGTGCATTTTAATGCTAACCATTGGTTATTAAATACCATTGGCTCAATTCTCGGACATTAAACGTCCACCACGCTGTTTAAAACGTCGCTAGTCTGTTTGTGACGTGACTTGGTGTGACCACTTGTTACCGTAATTCAGCAAGCCAGGGATGTCACATGTCCGTAGTACCAGAGTTGGCTAGAAAAAATCTAGGTGCCACGTGAACGTATATAATGCTAATATCAGAAGCCACAAGCATTGTTGACGCGACTCTTTATGACACGTCTCTTTGTTTTTTTTTCTACCCAGCTGGGGTCATTCCCTACAACAACTTCGTGCTGACAGCAGTCCCACGAACTTCCTTGGGACCGAGGATTCGAGGTTGCCAGTCCAAGTCTCGCGAGGTCCGGTTCAAGCCGCGACAAATCATTTCCGCCAAGGAGTTCGCCTTCTTCGCAATGTGTACGTCTGCGTCAGAAGTAGTGCCCCTTCACTTTTTCTGTAGTAATTATTTTGTTCCTCTTCTAGCACTTGTAAAAAGCCCTATTGCCTGCTCGGCCCTGCAATTTCTTCAACTCCGGAAAGTTGATGCAGAAACCGCCATCTTGAAGACAGTCAACGAGGAGTTATGCGCCCAAGATCTCTTGGGCATCTACTCGGAATCCCCTTTTTATCGACCAGTGTTACTGCTCCGCGAAGTCCAGTTCGCGACTCCGACGAATACAGTGGGTCAGTTCCCCGACCCAGACAATATGATTCGGCAGTTGAAGGATCTGGCGGAGCAAAAGGTGGCCTCAGTCCCGCTGATGGGAATGATGTCGGGGACCAAACCAACAGCTGCCAGTCTGGGCTTCTGCACTGACTACCTAATGCACACCTTCAATGTGGAATTGGATTTGAACCTAATCGCATTTCTCAATGAACAGGCGAAGCTGGGAAACTCTGCGTGAGTTTTGAAGTGGATTTTCTTGTTATTTTATTCCTGAGAAAATATGAATGGGGTGAAAGCAACCCATTTATTCGAGTAAACAGCGAGTTTCTGAAAGTGAAAGCTGCATTAATCTTGTATGTATTCTAGTGCCGCACATGCTTTTCCGAGCGTCTAACTAGGACCTAGAAGGCATACTCTTCACAGGGGTTTGTCCTGGGTAAGCTCACTTCACCTGGTCACTGGTGCTGGAACTCGACGTGCATTCTTTCTCGCAAATGTTTGTGCTCATCGTTCTCGTAGGCAGATTCGCCTCTTGTACACTGACTCCTCGCGCTGACTGAGTGTTCACAGCAGTGGCTCCTGTGTGTTGCCGGCTTAGAAACGAATCACCACAGCCTGGAATTTTGTTGAAGTGCGGACGTACAGTCTTTGGAATGTTTACACCATTCGAGTGTCTTACTGTCGTGCGGTTGAGCGCCCCACTACCGTGCAAAGTGTGCTTGAGAAGTCCTGTAAATGCCATCACCCACGGGTTCGGGCTTGGCGCCTCCGTTCGCAAGAAACTTTATTCTTCACACGCTGTTTTTTTCGTGCATGCGCCACCACTGTTGTCTGCAATGACCTGCTGTAACTATGGGGAAATTGCGGAATGTGTGCGATTGTTTGTAGGCACGCACCATAAGACACAGATTGGCAACTTTATCTGCCTTCTGTACTGCGTTGAACCTTCGTGCATCCGGTTCTAGCGCCGCAGAAACTCAACGTGCATCTTTTCGTCCTCCATTCAGAGCTGATGCGGTAGCAAAATGCACAGCCCCTTGATGGCTTGTAATTGTTTCACCATCCTCCGCTGTTTGGCGATTAACCTGTCAGGGACTACTTTCTTCACTTTCTTTGTTTACCGTGAGTGATAAAGCAAAGGGCTTGCACATACGTCATCTGGAAGTGGAGGTTATGTAGAGGCCATCGAGCAAATGGGCGGGTATTGAAGTTCATCAACTTGTTTTTTAATCCATTCGCGAATACATGCTGACTTTGGATTTTCTCCCAATTGAATTACTTGTGATGACAAGTGGATTTTGTATCACAAGGTGAGTGATAAAACGCCGTTGATTATCAGCAAACCATCCACCCACTACTTCTAAGGTTCTATTTCATCCTTGAATGACCCCTAGCTTGTTTAATCCACGAAACAAATGGTTTTTTATGGTGATGGGTTCAGGGATGGGTGGCTAAGTGAATGGTTAGCCGGATAAATGGATGACTGACCGGATGAGTCTCTGGCCGTTTACCTGGACGATGTTCTGCTCTCGTGGGTGATTAATTCGATGGGTGTCTCTTTGAATGCTTCGGTAATTTACTGATTGGATGTCTGGCCGGTTGATTGGATGGACAGATAGATGAAGGTGCTCCTTGTGCAGTCAACTTGTCAGATGGTTGGATGATTGTCTGAATGGTTTGTTAATGAATAAAAGAGGGGATAGGCATCCCCGTATCCCTACCAACTAACGATAACAAAGTGGTCGGGTGAATGATTGGTTATTTGATAGACTAACCGGATGGTACATTGAAAGTCGAGTGACTGAGTTAACATGCTGTTGGTTGGATGGGTGACTGGTTGGCTGATCAAATGGATTGACGACTCGTCAATGGCGGTTAGTTGAATTAACTGAACGGATGGTTGAGTGGATGACTAGTTCGAGGAATAATAGGTGGATTGATGGACAAGTCGTTAGCCGGGAGAACAACCGATTGGATGAATAGGTGGTTGGTTGGATAGATTGACGCACTATTGAATGGATAGCTCTCTTGATGGGTGAGTGGATAAAGCATTATTTTCGAGTACACTTGGTCACTTACTTGAGTAGATGTGTGTGAGCAGCTTTATCGAATGAACAAACTTTTGACCGAACAAGTGAAAACGCTCCCCTTTCATCTCAGTGGAGTTTTATCATCCACCTCCCTTCTCAAAACCCCGCGCAGGAGCGAAAAGTACCGCGTGATTCTGCGTTTTGGCTGGGCGACCCAAGGACTCTGTGTTCCAACTAACTCTCAGGGGTCATCCGGCGTTCGCCTATTGGCTGCTGAGACCCTGCCCCGTTGCCTGCAACTCCGCGTTGCTCGTCGCCAAGTCTCCCTCCCAGAGCCCATTTTCCACGCCGGACAAGCCGTCAAACTTGGACATCGTCTGCGTTACTCCGTCGATATTACAGACAAGGTGAGTATGCCACTACTGCACGATTTTTTTGTGATTTGTAGTGCCTCTAAACGCTAGTTCATGCATCCCGCGTCTTCCATTTAAAAGGCGGAGATTCAGCTTGAATTTTTTTATTGCATTGTGGTTTCACCCCATCTCCCACAGATCCCAGTGCGTGCCGCCAATCTTGTTCGTACGCGCAACATCGAAATTGAAATGACATGGCTCCACGCCCCCCTGGAGGATCACCCGCATTGCCTCCTGGAAAGCGTCACCGCCGGCGCCCTATCTCCCGCCATGAATCATGTAATCAACATGCCACTGGTACAGGTAACTCTGGACAGGGTTGAGGCTCTGCCAAAAATTGTTCGCAACTTCTCCGTGGCAGTGGCCGGACGACCCACGGATGAATTGACTGCTCAACCTCAGCAGCCACCTCCAGTGAATGGATTTTCGCTGCCTACATTCACCCCTGAAAGGCTAATTGGTGTCTATGATTTTTGTGCATCCCCGGAGCGGGTCATTTCTGTGGAAAAAACACTGGTGAGTGGCCTATCTGTGGTGTTACCACTAGCAACTATAGTCTTAAGATGTGATAGCAAGGTATATCAGGACTTCAGTTTTAATAGCATATGCGGTGGAAGCCGTAAAACAATTCAACTTGCCTTCACAAAACTAAAATGTTGTATTCAATCCCCCTTACCACTCTTTTTCCGCCTCATTGCCATCCACCCGTCTATCTGGCTTCCATGCAACGTGCGGGAGGCATAATTTCTATCTCTGTAATGCGCCTTTTATAATCGTTCGTATCCGGTATCGCCTCACTTAATAACCTCCATCGCGCGAAAGAAATTGAGCTTCATTGCCAAAAGTAGCCGCTGCTTCCGTAACTCCTTGGTTCAATTGTTCATGCCCGAGGCCTCCTTTCATGCTCCTGCAACGCGGTGTTCAACCTGTCAAACTGCGGTTTGCTTCACCCGAATCGAATCCTGAAGTTTAGGCGACCCTTCATGCCACTCACACACACAGGGTGGACTGGCCGACGAGAGTGAGACGTCGGCCAATTTCAGGTCCCTTCTTGTTTCTCTTCTTAGGACATGCTGAAGAAAAAAATGGCCTCTCAAGATGATCTCCTTTGTGATGATTGGATCCCAGTGACTCTTCTCTGCCCTCTTACCTTGACCCGAATTGAAGTGAGTTGACACCGTTGAGGGGGAGAAACAACGTTTGCTAATCAAGTCTATAGGTGACACATCTTTTCTCACTCCCTTTGTAGATTCCAATTCGATCAGTAAATTGCGATCACCTTCAGTGCTTTGATCTCTCCTCTTATTTGACTATCAATAAACGGCGGCCGAGGTGGAATTGTCCGGTTTGTAGCCTACCGTCGCCTTTTCGAGATCTGCGACGTGATGAGTGAGTGATAGTCTTCACGAGGTCCAGGAATTCCGAACGTTTCCTATGCTTCTTCCAATCCTATAAGTCCTTCTGATCTCTAAATTTTTCTCCTCCCTACTTAGCTTTTTCCTCCATCTCCTGAAGAACAAGACTCTCGCTGACGCTGAACACGTGAAGGTTGACGCCGAGGGTAATTGTCGAAAAGTCCTCACCGATTCCACCGCTTCAGCCACGGGCGGTAATAGCGACTCAACCCCTCACAAACCTCAACGCAACGGTGATGGCAATGGTGACATCGGAAACAGTGATATTCCATCCTCGATAAGCCCCTTTAAGACGGATCCTTGTTCACGGCAGCGGGGTCCACATCTCCACTCTCCGTCGTCGTCTTCACCATCACAACGACGGCGCCCCCCCTCGCCTTGCATTCTCATCATTGACGATTCCGATTCGGATGATAAGGAGGAGGAAAAAGCAGAGAAGGAGAAGGTGAAGGAGGGGAATACTACTGCCTCACCTAATTCACTAACCACTCAACAAGCACAATCCATGCCGTCAACACTGCCCACGATTCCAGCTTTTGCTTCTGCTGCTTCACCTAGTACTTCTTCTTTGGTACCACCAACGCCGATTTTGCCTCAGACTTTTTCTGGGTAAGGCTCCACTTCTTCGATTGATTCGTAATAAAGGAGGTTGATATTTCGTACTTGGCTGAGTGGATGGTTTACTCGATGGACTGTTAGAGGTCCTGATGGACAGGTGATTTGATATGATTTGATTGATGGATGGGTTGCTGATTGAATAGATGATAGACAGAGTGAATGTCTGGTTGGACGGATCTCTGGCTTGAGGAATGGTTGGTTTGGTGGTTAGCTGGATGAGTGGTTGGCCGGCTGAATGCATGATCTGATCGTTTACGGCATCAGTGAAACTTGTAATTTCACTCAAAAAAATTTTTCGATTGTTTTTTTTTTCTTACACAGCGATCTTGTTGTGGATTTAACGGAGCTTTCAGACGACAGTGATGATGACCCACCACCCCCAAAATCATCCAGACCAACAGCTCCTTTTCCTCCTCCTCCACTTTCTTCGGCTGCTTCCCCCCCTCCTATTCCAGCTCCTCCGCCTCCTCCTGCTGGTGCTCCTGTTCCTCCTCCTCCTGCTGCTGCTGCTTCTCCTCCCTCACTTCCAACTTCAACAGTGACGGCAACGGTAGCGTCACGTCCTCCGATTCTAGTCATTCCAACAGAAACCACAACTTCCAGTGTTCCCACCACCAGCGCCTCACCCAATGTCACTGTCACTACTGCAGCGACAATTAGTCACCCGGCTGCTGCTGTATCCAGTGACCTTCAAACCCGTCTGTTTGCTCCTTTGACATCTGTGTCCGGGGGCCGAATTCTCTTCCTTTCCAATCCGCAACCCATATCCACGTCGAATATTCCACCTAGTTCAAATGGTAGGTAGCTGTCGGTGTGTTCTACCCACCGCTGCACTCATCTTCAACTACTCCTTCACCCGTTTATTCGCCTCGTGTCCGTCTGTAAATGCATCTCAAGTTTATGCATACACCTGTCCATTCATCCAAATACTCTTGATCCGTCCAGTCTGTAATTCGTAATTGAGTCATCGTATCTACAGCGCTTCCGCTTCAACACTAGACCCTCTCATCCACCCATCTCCAGTCAACAATGATTCTTTGGTCTATTTATCCATCCGCTTCCAATCCAGTCGTTCGCTCATCCACCTTTCTCTAATCTATGTGTCCATCCATGCAGATTTCTTTCATCATGTCTCCTGCTGTGCAAACTCAGCTTGTAAGAGCTTTAATCCCGGCGAAGTAAAACCCCACTAATGTATTTCCTTCCGCCTTTTAGCCACAATTGTTTCTCGGAATGTCGTAACCACGGGAACGACAATGACAATACCATCTGCCGCTGTTACAGTCACCTCCGTCTCGCCTAGTAACGCCACAAAGCGGTCGTTATCTGTGCCCACCACTACTGCACTAAGCGGTGGCATCCAGGAATCCGGCGTATCTGCTCGTACTGGAAGATTCAAAATCACCGCCAAGAGGCGGTGCGTCCTCTCCTCGTCAGCATCGAATTCGGTTGATGGATCCGCGTTGCCTGCAAGCTCAGTGGTGGTAGGTCTTTGAGAGCTTTATCGCTTTGAATTTGATTCGTCTTAGTTGGAGAATCAAATCCCATCTAGGATGCATCTACTTGACTTTAGCATCGTCTCCAGAAAAAAATATTTCTACTCTGAAATGTCTTCACATGGCAGGTCACGTCCAAACCAGGCATGGTACGCTTTGGTTGAATGTTCAAAGGAATAACTGTCGAGGCACTGGACCGGGAGCGTATGGGCGTTCCTGAAACGTTGACATGATTCGAATGTCATTGTTGGCTGGGCGGTTGATTGTCTTATCACTGTAGAAGTTGTCTCTCGATTGTTCAAAAACGAAGTAGATGCTCTTTGAACACTCCCCAACATTCACTCGAAGGTGTCATTCTGGAATAATTTGGCGATATTTTACTGTTAATTCGAATAAATGCTCTTCCGAATTCCTTTCAAAGCGTGTACCACCCAGAATGTTGTATTCTTCCAGTGCTTCCAAGTTGTCGATTTTTTCCTTTAGATTATTTCACGGCCCATGGTTACTGCCACGTCCAGTCTTCCAAATACAGCCGTCACCACTGTTGCTGAAGGACATTCCGTACCGCTTTCGACGTCTCTAACAACCACCGTCCTTTCTCCCTCCATTACCACACACCGCCTTCGCTCATCTCGTCAAACTGTTCAACTTTCACAGACACCCAGCAAATCCGTTGCAGGTCGCGGACGTGGTCGTGGACGTCGTCGCGTCTTCGTAGACGATGGTACCGGCGATCCTGCAGCATCATCAACAGGGGTAGAAAGCACAGGAGGGGCATTTGAATCGTCTGTATCCTCCACCTCCATACGAGCAATCGCAGAAGAGGCTGCAGAAGACGAGGAGAACAATGATGATGACGATGAGGAGGAGGAGGAGGAGGACGAAGAAGAGGAAGGGGAGGAAGAAGATGACGACGACGATGACTGGACGCCAGGAGCTTCCACCTCGATCACCACTCCAAACTCGGCACGTCGAAGATCTGCTGCCACGGCGTCAACGACCAGACGCAGACCGTTGAATGCGAGCAGTGTGGAGAGCTCTCGAAGTAGAAGGGGATGAAAGTGGGAGGTTAAGATTATGACGATACTGTTAGTACTACTGTCTACTACTACGTTTTTGTGGGTGGTTTTTGTAGAATATCACAAGAAAAAGAATATTTATGTCCCATCTTATAGTATTTAGTTTGTCTTGCTTTTTTTGGTTTGGGTAATTGCTGATTTGGTGGAGGGTGCGACATGATGCAGTCATGTACTCTCTCTCCTCTTCTTGATGGGTTTTGCCCCCCTTAATTGTCTGCTTTGGATGTGGTTGTGTGATTTTCGAACACCAAGAAAGGCAGATTCATGAAAATGAGGGTGTGAAAGAAGTGACATCTCCTCTCCTTCCCCCCTCCTTCCTTTCTTCCCCTCCCACCGATTGTTTAATTACGCCTGTTTCTGAGGTGATTGTTCGATCTTTGGCAGTCTGCTGTCAGAAGACTACAGCTACTGAAAGGTGAGCGGACGAACGGTAAGCAGGATCTTTCCAATGCATTTGCAATCGTCGTAGTTGGCAGAGTGTCCACGAAGTGCCATGCAAACTGTCACCTTGTCTTGAATGGCGTCTTCAACTGTTGGTGTTAGTTGCACACACTTCTGGACCAACGACGGTCATTGTTAGACGCATAGAAACCACCCGCCATCGGGTCACCTTTGGCATCCTGCATCTTCCTCAGAGTTGTATTAACTGGCATCCAGGTCTGGTAGACTGAAGGCTCTGCTGGAAGATCATATCGTCAAAAAAGGAGGTGCAGGCCTCGGAGGCTGAAGAACAATGTGATCACTCCTTCATCTTGGCAGTAGTGAGTTCCTGTGAAAGATGCAATTGCCTCCAAGACAGGATTGAAGATGACTTGATGGACATCCATCGAAAGGTTGGAATTCCTCAATCTGGGGTGAAAAAGAATGCATTTGAGTGGATCTACTACGTAGGTCTACCGGTTTTCGTTGCAAGATTTGTCCCAAACATTGACATCTCATGCTATTTGGTTCGTAGAACTGTAGGCAGTCAGAATTCCCCAAAACTTTCTCCTGTTCCATCACCTCCGCTTTAATACCTCGTAGGGGGCACAGTTGTACCTCGACCCAGGAGATGGCTTCCTCCTGCACGGTAAAAAATTTGGTAGTCTGTCAAAGAATTCAGCGGGGTGGTTTCCAGGCATTGGATTGGATTGCTAACGCCATCGGTGTGAAAGTCTGGGTTTTCCCTGATATTGCTGAGGCTATGGACGCGGTTGGAAGGTCATGCCGCCAAGTAAAAGGAAGTACAACCCATGGAGGTTTGTAAAATTTCATCCTCACTTTCAACAAGGGAGATCAGTTTCACCCCTTAGTATATCGTCTGCTTGCTGTAATGAGTGGTCATCGCGGCTCCTCACATTCGTCCATCCATTACTGTCCCCATCCAACTTTGTTCCATTCACTGAGGGCTCTTCTCTCCACAAATTCATCATCACAGCTAACTTCTTTACAAAGACGTCAATGGAAGCCCAATAAGGTGGGAAACTGGGCCGAAGAATGTCGTGAGTTCCTCCAATCAAGGTTTTTACGACAGGTGAATGTACTATGACCTCCAAGTTGGTGCAACAAGGAGCTTGGCCACTTCAAATGCCTCTCGTGAGGTTACTTCTAGCCGGACAAATGTTATCGTCTCCTAAGTGTCACCGGCTTAAACACATTTCCAACCCGCAGTACGTTCGAGTAGCCACTTATGATGAAGAATAATGGGACTGTGGAAAGCTCCTCCACTCGCGTTTCAACGAGACACGAGGATGATGCGACTTCCACTCTCACCATCAACGCTTAGACGTAGTCACTTCCTCCTCTGCCTTGCCGATTTTGTGTTAGGAAGGCAGATGGTTGTCACCCCGTAAAGGGACACATGCGGACGAGAAGGACGTGGAATCTTTCCATACCACCAATCTCCACATTGCCTGATGGAAAGAACACTTCCTCCCCTTTGATTTCTGCGGATTCCGACTGTTTTAGAGGGCAAGGTCCTTCCTCTACACCTTCCAGACGTGTCAAATTAGGCATGTGGATCCTAATCGTAATTGTGTGGCCTTCAACAACCCATTCCAAGAACACCATTCCTTCCGTAGTCCACGAAACGCACACAGGCCAGGAAGGCCAGTGCAGAGTCATCTAGCGATGCGGTAGCAGGCCGTGACTCCAAAGTGTGCGGTGGGCAATGGACGATGAATGGTGTGGACATAACCACTCGCCTTTTTTTGCATCCAACTTGACAGTGGATGATAGACGTCTCCTTGAATGCCAGACAGACAGACAGACAGACAGTCAGTCAGTCAGTGGGTTGGTCAGACAGAGGAGGAAACGTCCAAGCAGAGGGGAGAGAAGAGAGGCGAGAGGAGGGATCTCGTGATTGACTACCACAACCACGTTTCCATGCCCAATTGAGGGATGCGTCTTCATGCTGCAGCTTCACCGAATGTCAGGCAACGAATTGGAGGACAAACTTGTGCAGCTATGGAAGCGGACAAGGTAAGGCCAAACCAATGGGATGAAGTTGACCTGCCATGGATGGTGGGATGGGAGAGAGTGAGGAGCACAGGAGAGATGAGGGGATGGTGAGGGCACCGATGGCACGTGCTGCGCGAAGCAAGTGAACAGCGGCATTTGACAAGTCCCCTACAACTTGCCATCAAGCATAGCAGCAACGGGTGCCACCAACGCTCAACTTCGGTCACCTCACACCCAATTTCCAAATGATTCCAGCACCGGATGTGCATTCGTATCCACATTCATCCACCAACCAACCATCCATCCACCAATCCAGTCATTTACCCATCCACCCAGCCATGAATCGTCAAGACAGTCCAAACAGATGAGTTGGGCAGGTAGATGAACGCAGATGGACGGGTGGATGAAGGTCTGGGGAAAGGAGGTACTGCCACACCCTCCAAACTCACCTTGCATCAATTGAAGTGATGATTTCCACACCTCCTGGCCCCATTCCACACAGGTACTGACACTGCCACTGGCTCTTGTTCAACACTCCATCCTGACTGCTGAAAAGTCATTCAGGATGTGTGATTGGCATTGCAACGTCGGTTCCATGCCTCAGTAAGTTGCCGCTCTGCCTCTGCTAGAAGAGAAACGCCATCTCAACCAACTTGTACCTCCTTTGAAAATCACATCAACTCGAAGAGGTCAGTATCGCAATGCAGAAGGCACTCGCAAAGTCTTCCTCGCCTCTTCGTACTTTATCTTTCTTGCCAACCACGCAAGGACCTGTTTGTTCACCCAATGTATTCCCCACTCCCAAAGCCATCTGGCTTTGCATTCAGGGATGGGATTGTCAGCGCCGAGACGAAGTTGGCCCTGACATTTGCCATCTGCAGGGCGCAAAGGCATTCGAGTGAATGCGCATGCAAGACTGCTTGCCCGTCAAGGAAGTGGATCCTTCCAAACGTTAGCAAAGTGTTGCCATGCGACATAAGTTGAGGGATAACTGAAGACGAAGGCTTTGTGAAGTGGTTCCTTCCAATTCAAGTTGAAGGCGAAGGGAGAAAGAGGTGGAGAGGAGCGGAGGGCAGAGGAGGTGCAGTGGGAGTAGCAGTACTGCTTCCTGACCTCCCATGTCGTGTGACATGGGCGATGCACTTTCGACATGGCAGCAGTCGCCAAATTTGTGCACGATTTGCATCCGAGGTGGGAAAAGTGGCGAAGAGAGGGCTGCGAGATCCGTCAGTGCGCCATCCACTGCGAATTGACGGCATGTGTGTGTGCAGGTGTGCGTGGTGTGTTTTCTCGTTAAAGGCAACAAAGGTTCCACAAGACGGCGACTGTCACGAAGTCGTCCTTCTCCATGCCCCAATTCAACTGCTCGAAAATGATCCGCTTGATGTGCAGCAACCCAAAGGAGGCCTTAGCTGACTGCAGTGAAGATTGCGAGGATGAGACAGTGAAACGTGGAGCACATCGCCCATGGGGAAGGAGGGGGACAAAGGAAGCGATTAACTGGTGAGTGGGGGGACGAGACACAGATTCCTCCTTCGTCTAAGTGGATAAACACCGTCTAGACAGCCTGCAGATCTATCACGTGGCCAGTAATTAGTCTCATGTGCGTGGCATATCCTTGAGTAGCTGCCGTCCAGGTGGATTACACCCCTTCCATCCATCATGTCTGGCCGGCTGAAGAAAAGGAGTGGAGGAGCAGGTAGGGAGAGAGGG